GGAGAATTAATAAAAAGATCTGTAAATACAGCAAGATTACATGTTTCATCAATGGCAAGAAGACTTAGACGGGATGTTAGAGGGCTAAGGGACTTGGGGAGCTCTGGGCCATCTTAAGGTGGTGTTATCCACATCACTTGAATGCACGTCAAAACTTTTAGACAGCAGTTGACCTTATTCTTCTTTTTTGGACAGATGACACTTTTGAAATGATGCTGGTGGTGTTGTCAGCAGATGAATTTCTAGATCTTCAGCTGATTAATAAAATTTTCCCAAACTCAAACTACATGATCAGTCTGAACAAAGTGCAGAAAAAGAGTATTGATGCTTTTTCATTTTCCCTTTCAGAGCATTCACTCAAAACACATTTCTGCCAATCATTTGCTGGACTCTATCTCAGTTCTCTTATTTCTGCTGTTTCCATAAGTCTCTCTTCACCACTGCTTCACTTTCTGTAGGAGGCAGTTTTTTTATGAGGGATAAGAAAATGTCCCATCATCTCTCTCCTGGTGTGATATATTTATTACTTTCCATTTATATCCTGCAGCTCTATTGCTTCTGCAAATAGTTGTTTTCTTTCCTTTCACCATGTCAGACATGTCCAGTGTATCTGTAGTTGCTCATCCTCTTGATTTGAGAATCAAATGGATTCTAAACTATCATCTGGACACTTCTTTCTTGTTTTCCTCTATAAAATACTTTTTAGAAGTTGAGAAAATGAACAAAAATTAGAATATTAATTATCAGATAAAGTCTATCTCAGCAAACAACTTTTTCCCCAAGGGCAATATGTAGGAAGGTGTTAGTGCATGATGAACAATGTTTTCCTAGCGCAGGGCTCTTAGGGTAATCTTGGGGAAATTTAATGATCTCAGAACAAAGATCCCTTATGAATGCAGTGTTTGTTCTTTACTTTGGAAAATCTTTTTCTTTTTTTCTAGAAATTCATGTTATATGCACTTTGGGTGATCAACGTTTAGACCCATGAGCCTGTGCAAAAGGTTATTGTTTCATTTTTACCTGGGTAGAACCAGGACTGTCTGATGGACTGGAATTCTGCTCAGTCTTTCTCTACATATGGAAGTGCCAAGAGATTTTTTTTTTTTTTTTTAAAGGATCAATCTGTGCAATTATGCTTGTGTTTACTCTGATACTAAGTTAATAAATCTTTTTCACCTCCCTGTGTCTTATTTTTTCTTGGAAAAAAGTAGATTTTTTAATGATAGTGTATGAATGCAAGTAGGGCAGGCATTCTAAGTTCTTTTCAAATTGCACAAAAATGTACAAATTAAAAAAAGAAAAAAAAATAACAGAAATACAAGGAACACACTGTGGGAAATTTCTCAAGATTTAGCAAATGATACATTTCAGCGCAAAACCCAACAATTTATGATTACAATTTATTCCAATTTTATTCCAGGTAATCTACTTACCAAAAGAAATCTTGCTTCTCTCTTTTTGGCTGCTATGTTTGACTCTGTAGATTTTTTTTTATTTATTTATTTTCACATAAATACATAATTTTCTTATATATGCTTGAAAGGTATCCATACACATGAAACTGCACTACATTTGTACCTGCATCCTGTTCAAAGAAATTTGTAAGCTTCAGAATTGACCTAATTCTAATGCAGTTGAATTACACAGAAACAGTCTTGGTCAGCTAGGAGCAAGGTTAGATGAGCTTTGATGAGTTGTTTTATCAGTGAAATCCACATTAAAAGCAACGGTGATTTTTAAAATTTTATCCAGCTTTGATAACTGTGACTTTGTGTGGTTGTTTCTTTGTTTTTTTGGTTTTTTTTTGAGATAATTGCTTTTTAGTATGAAGTAATATTTTGTTAAATCACTATTATCTGAGAAAGACTTCTGGACACCCAATGCAGAGTCCTTATATTGAGAAATAGAGCTAATTAAATATTATCAATACATCTCTGTAGAGATTTTGAGGAGCATTAGGTAAAAGGAAGAGACGTGAGGTTGCATTTGTTGTGTGGGAGGACAATGAGGACGGGAGTTGGACAGGTGGTCATGCAGACTTGTGTTAGAATGTTTTCTGTGCTATGAAAAATGGATTGTGGCCTTGCCTTAAATGGTTAACATTTATATATGCGTGTGTATCTGTTCATTTGAGATGCAGAGAAGACAGCATAATATTAATGTTGAATAAATCTATCTACAGAGTAAGCTGTTGTGAACATTTTAAAAAACAGTTAATTGAAGGATGTTTTCTGGATTTTCAACACGTGAACAAGTGTCTCTTTATAAATGTATCAGAATGGAATTTGAATAACCCAACAAACAGCATCGATCCTAATACTAAAATGCCACATAAGTCTGTAGCTTGTCCCCATGAGCATCTTCGTCCTCATTGCCATTCAGTTTAATCCTCCAGTTTTCTCAGGGATGTACTTTCTGGAAATCTCTTTTGGTTCTTTAAATTATAAATGTCATTTAAATCTATACTTTTCTGTCATTATGCCTAGGAAAATAGAGATTGTAATGTGAAACATAATTGTCTCACTTTGCAATTTGTGTTATGATAGTTGAGCACAACTAGAACACATTTAGATATTCCCCTGAGCAATATGGCTAGGTATTACAAACTAACTGGAATTCTTTGTCTGCAGATAAATAAATAAATGAATTCCCTGAATGACCAGTATTTGTGTGCAAATAAATAGATAAATGAATGCCAGAAACTCTTGCAGAGTAAACTTTCTCATTAATATGCTACATGAACAGAAAATAATGTTTAAAGAAATATCATTTCAGTGTTGATTTGGGTGGTGAGAACTACTGCTAGCCTGGGTGAATAAGTTAGTCTTGCACTTATGTCTGCATACCAAAACATTTAAATGCTCCCTGAAATATTTGGAATATTCAAATTCTTTCCCTTAGTAAAGAAAAAATCCAGGAAAAGAGCACTTAGATAAGAGAACACCTTTTATCCCTGGGTAAAGTGCTCTCTCACTGTCCTCATTCAAGAAATTCAATATTTGCAGGCCCTAGTATAAATTGCTATTAAAGATGCCAAGCGATAAAGTTAGACTCTTTAACCTTCCTTAAAATGCATCCCTGAAACAACAGAAGCCATCATCCTTATTAAGTAAAGATTTACTCCACTTTGTGGTAGCAAAATCATGGGATTATCAAAGCCAAAAAGTGGGCATGTGAAAGGGAATTTTGCAAGGAGCACCTGCGTGGCCAAACCAGCTAATAAACTCTCCTTAGAATACAGTATTCACACATATGGATGGTAATTGCTGTGTGCTGTCTTGTGCTGTGTAATGATCAAAGAACAAGATTGGAAATTGCGATACATTTGTTGGGGGGGGAGGGGGGGAGGGGGAATCCAAACAGAAACCTCTAGGATCAAATTAAGTTATTTGCTTAGTTGTTGCTTTCACGATGTAAAGAAAATTTTCATACCATATGTAGGAAAGAAAGTACACTACTTTTAAACAAATAACCAGATGAAGGTGGTGAGACACTGCAATGGGTTGCCCAGAGAAGTTGTGGATGCTCCGTCCCTGGAAGTGTTCAAAGATAGGATGGATGAGGCTTTGAGCAACCTGGTCTAGTGGAAGGTGTCCCTGCCATGGCAGGGGGGGTGGGACTAGATGATCTTTATGGTCCCTTCCAACCCAGACCATTCTATGATTCTATGAATAAACTTTCTTGTAAGATCATTGTGAAATGTTTTTTCCCCTGTGACTCCAAGGCTTAGAACTACTTTATATATATATATGCTGTTATTCTGATGGGTGTAAAGGAGACCACCATATCTCAGAACACAGGTGACCTTTCTGTATGTGCCATTTGTTTCATGTGTTGCTAAGACAGCACTGTGAGCTTTCTAGAAATGCATCTGCAGGGCCTGCCTGTGTTAGGCAGAAGAAAGGGTGTAGTCCTCTGGCCAGGGGAGCTGCAGCCAGTCCACTCCATGGCAGGTTGGTGGTGATCTGTTCTCCTTGGCAGTTCAGGCGCTCAGCCACACTGTCCTGGTCCTGTGCCTGCCTGAGGTGCCCTGCAATGCTGCCTGTGAGGCAGCAAAGACCTAAAAACCAAAGGCCCATAGCTACCTTTGGTTTTTAGAACACCAGCTCAAAAACACAGACATAAACCATTTGTTCCCAGCTCTTTTGCATTCGAGACTCACTTGACTCACTTGGTGTCTATAGCTAAATAAGAAGAACCTGGGTTAGTGTGTCATCTGCTACCTTAATTCTGGAAATCCTATGGAGGAAGCAGTTCTGCTCTGCTATGTGTAGGCTTACATATCTTAGGCAAGCACTTTGACACAGATTATGAGACATCTTTGAAAGGCTGTGCATCCTTTGGGGAGGACGAAAAAATGTGTTTGGTGTGAGGTGAACTGAAGGTTTGGATGATTAGTTTGTTATTTAGTGGTTTTTGTTTATTTGTTTTTTACAAAATATTTCTTCTGCTTCCAGTCCCTCAGTCTGAGTTTATCTGCCAAGTGGTGAAGCCTAGGGGATTATGAGTTAAAGTTATCCCATGAAATTGTCTCTCCCTCAGTCTGCAGCTTAGACATGCTGGGTGGCTTTAGTACCCCTCAACCCCACAGAAGACAAGTCCAAGGCAGCTGTCTAGAGGAATCTGTAGAGCTTGTTGGTCTCCTTTGATGTCACCCTGCAAGGCTACAGGTTCTGTCCAGCATTTTCTATTAAGCCTCAAAATCTTTGGCTTCTGTAAGAATATATTTATTTTCTGTTTTCACGCCACACCAGTTGGTCTGTTGTTAATGCAATGAATTTCACCTTCTGCAAAGTTAAAAATTCACCTTCCTAAAAAATCATGGGGAATCGGCAAAGAGGAACTAAATTGAGCCAAAGCTGCAGTACTAGTCAACCGTAACAAGTAATTATAATAGCCCCATGGTCATTTTGCTCACAGCTTGACAGAGAAAATAGCATGAAAACAAAATATTATTTTTTCTTGAATGTTAAAATACAGGGCCAGGTTCAGTTCTGGTGATGGCACATCACAAGGTGTGGGCCCTGTTGCCTGAGCAAGTGCAGTACATGAATTACCGCAGCACCCTGCCCTGTGCAGCCCAGGCAGTGGGTTGTCCAGCTGTGCAGCTGGTGCACCCAACATGTGCTGGAGATGGGCTGGCTGACCTGCAGCTGCTGGTGATGGCAGTGGTAAGGAGCTGGGATGTAAAGCTGCTCCCTGCAGAGCAGGCACCTCGGGAAATGAATGCAGTCAGCAGTGTCACTGCCTGTCCTTCCTCACAGTGAGCTCCTGGCAAGAAATAACCAACACAAGCTGCAACGCTGTTATGATTTCAGGATCAGCTAAGCCTGTGATTTTCAAACTGTTTATCCTGGGGTAAAAAAAAGGAAAGTGCGATTTTGTGGCTTTTAAAAAATACAAAATAAGAAAAACATATAGTTGAATTGACTTCCACTGCAATATAAGGGTGCAGGCTCTGTCCCAGAGGAGAGGAGAAGAGAGGATTAGGAGGCTGGGACATGGAAGGTCTGCAAAGAAGCTTTAGACAGAGTGAAGTCTGGAAAGAAGAGATCTCAGATCCTTCAGATCTCCTTATATCTTAGCCTAAATTATTACGTGTGCAGAAACTTGCATTCCTAAATGTGTCAATCCCTTCCATGAAGTTACTCCTATTTTTTTATTTCCTAACATAGATAACCTCAAAAGACTTCCCTGAGTCATTAATAGGATTAGTCTGCAGAAATGATCTACTATTCTTACAGGGAAAGTACTTTCTTGTAACATTGTTTTCAGGTGTAAGGGCCGTATGTCCTAAAGACTGTTAGGTTTCCATTTGTTGTTTTTTTCTGAAGATGTAGTAAGGTTCTATTCTGTTAAACCAAAACTCTTTCTATATAAATTTAGTATGAAGGTTCTTGTGATTTAATTAGAAACCTATTGAGACCATCTTGGTGCTTTTCTATGAGGAACTGCCTCTGCAGTATGTTAGTATTGCCAGGCTAGATGGTACAGTTTTAAGCTGGTTTGATTCAGATGATGCATTAAAAAATACCATTTTTGTTACTAAACACAAAACAAGAACATTTGGCCTAGACTAAGCATGTCTATTTGCAACTTTTTTCTTCTGTTGTCTTTTTAAAAATATTTATCTGATAATGAAAGGAATATAGAAAACATCTGGACAAATACATGGTTTTTTTAAAAGACTGTCTGTATCTCCCTTCACAGGAAATCACTGATAATGAAATATTAGAGTTGGTACACAGTGCTCTGGGGAGGATGACAGTTATCCGGCAAATTTTCCCTCTCTTAAGGGACAACAATCAGAGATGCATGAGGAACAACCACCGAATATCATCACTGCTCTGTGATCCACAAGAAGGCTATCTTCAGATGCTTCAGGTCAGTAGCTGTGTCCAGCAACAAAGTCCGTCTTAGGAATTTGAGATGAGATAGTTTTCTGTGACTGTATTAACTCAGAGGAAGAATAAAATGAGTATAGATAAATCTGAGCATGTAACATTTGCTCACCTGTCCCTGATTTAATTACTTATTTTATTTCCCAGAACGGATGTGATGTTATGTCCATGAAGTAGTAGCAACTACTTGCACTAACTCAGAGATCATTTTACATATTTCATTTTCTTAAGAATCTTTTTCTATTTGAAAAAAAATAAAAAGTTGTGCAATCATAGTCTTGTGGTACTACTGCTTGTTCATTGTTTTTAAGCTTAATAGACGTGTTGTAAAAGAGTTAATCTGGGAGGATAACAAAACTGTGATAGGTATAGGACTGTAGAATATTTGACATTTAGTTAAATGGACTGAATCCAGCTGATATATTCAATCAGTCACATTTCAATAGTCTCAGAGGTCTGCAGCAGCTGATAGTTGTCTGAGCATGTGAAATATGCACTACTAGGTCATGTTTCAGATTTTGGTAACAGATTTGACTCTGGTGTAAGCAACGTCTCAGGATTTCTTGGCAATTTATCTCAGACATCAGAATTTTTCTTAGAGTAATTTAAATGGAATTTTCAGAGATATTTCCAAGCATAGTGCAGTAATTTAGAAACACTGGTCTTGGAGTTTCAATGGGATGCCATGTGTTTCTGGTTTACTTTAGACATAATTAAGAATCTTATTTGTATCACTGTTGAAGATGTTAGATAAAGTTGAAAAGCTTGATTAGAACCTTTTTATTGCAAATTTAATCTTAACCTGAGGTGGATTGAGTGAGGACACAGTGTTTGATCCTGTCAGTTGGCAAGCATGGGTATTGTGTGTTAGAGTGAGTCTAGAAAGGGCTTGGTTAGGCTGTGGGGAGGGGGCCACTGGCAGTCTGGGCTGTGGCAGCCTGGTCATGAAGGCGGTGTGGTTTCAGGGGTCCTTCCAGAGGGAACTCATGTGTTGGTGGAAAGAGCTTCTGAAGAGCAAGGCATGAAGTTCATAGGAAACCAGGAGAAGTAGGGAGCTTCTCAGGAAGAGAAGCGGGTAGATCAAGATTTTCCAAGGAACACGGGTGGGGATGTTTGTTTTGCTTGTTTGTGCCCTACTAAAAAGTTGTATCTGCAGAGACTGAAATTCTCCAAGGGAGGGATATAGATTTTTCCTCCTTGAAGAGAACATCTGCTGACTCAGGTTCTGCCACAGTGGCGGAAATTTTGGGAAATGTCAATCACATGCACTGTAGTTCTGAGCACCGGTCTATTCTTTCTGCACCCAGGAAAGTCTATGCCTACCTTGGTTTAGGAAGAAAGACACTTTTGATCTTTGTTAGTAACTCTGAGGAGGTATGCTGTAATGAAAACAAAGGCTGCTCATTTCAGAAGATCAAAGCAATTTCCAGTATGTTGGGAAAACTATGTCCTGCACCAACAAATCACTCACTGGGAACAATCTTGCACTACAGCAGGATTTTGAGTATTAGTGTCTATGATGGTTTATGCATAATTTAATCCAGAGACTCATCTGAAGGGCTCTGACAGACCTCTCTGAGCTGTCCTGGTTTTCCTAGGATAGAGTTAATTTTCTTTTTAGTAATTGGAATAGCAGTATTTTACTTTCAGTGTTTCAGTTCAGACATATCACAAGAAGAACTTTGATAACAATACTTGTGTTGCTGCAGCTTCAAGGCCACCGTGTTTTTTGCTCCTTCACAGCTGCATTAGGACTGGGAGGGGGGAAGCGCAGTGAGGAGCAAAACCCAAAACTGGCATCTGGTTGTGCCAATGAAATATTCCATATCATATCACGTCATGCCAGTATATTAACCAGGGATGACCGGAAGACGGGGCACTTCTCTTGGGGATCGCTCGGGCTCACTCTTCCGGGGTTTTGGTTCGGGACCGTCTCGGCTGCGGGATCGTTAGCTGGCACAGGCTGGGAATTGGTCAGTGGGCGGTGAGCACTGTGTATCACTCATTTGTATAGTCTGTTATCACTGTTGTTATCATTATCATTTTCTTTTAATTAGTAAATAGTTTTTATCTCAACCCGTGAGTCCTT